AAAATGACAAAATTTGGACGGCTATTACTATATATAAAATAAAATATTTTTATAATTTTTAACGTTATACCTTAAAAAACATTTATTTTAAAGCAATCTACCAAATATAACTCCTGTTAATTATAATTTATAGTTTTAATCGCATATTTACCAAGCGCGAGTTATTTATATAAAAAAATGTGTTTGTGCATTGTTTTAAAATTTTATACGTCACGGTCCTTATTAATATTTTATAAATAAACAAATGGTTGTACATTGTCAAGAAAAGCATAAGGATCAATTTTATGTATATTTTTTTGCTGTAAGGGCAACTTCAGAAATCGACTTTTGGTCACCTATACAGGTCAAATACGACACAGTGCGACGTGCTTGAATTAAATGAAAAAATCTGCACGATTACTTTGAAAAACTTTCTACCTTCAATCTCTTTAATGAAGCTTGACAAACTTAGTTTATAAGTATTTTATCGACAGATGACAGATAAATTAATTATAAGTTGTTCAACTGAGTTTCGGTAATCGGTAAAGAGGATTTTTTCCACCCGGTGTACGTTTAATGCCCGTACTCCCGGTGTAGGTACTTCTAGTCACTTTGATAAAAATATACCACATTTTTGTCCCTATTTGGGAAAATTAATAAATACTTTTATAATAAATTGTATGAAAAAAACATTTAATAAAAATAAACACACAAAATGATATTTTAGATTTTATAATGGCATATTTATAACAGCAAGAATATGGCAACGTCGTATTTCCACCACGATAGCCAAAAGGTTTTTATCATAGACATACTAATATGTAGATGGTTTTTATAATCAACCATTTTGTTTGTTTTCTGTTGTATACCAATTGTTTTGGCATTGTTTTTTTTTCATTGTCTTTACGAAATTTTTAGTGGCTTTTATATAATATTCATATTATGTCACTTTTTACCACAGAAATGTATGTATGTAAGCTTTACCAAGGCGATGTAAGCAAATGACTTGATATAACCTAAATTTTATTTAGTTGACAATTCGTATCATATTACTATGTCTATTAGACTGGGCCAAAAAAATCGACTATTTTTTTTTGAAAGTATATCGAAAATATTGTTTGGGGTGACAAAAAAAAATTATGGTAAAAGTCCATAATATTAATATTAAGAGCTCTATCATCGCAATTTTAGATTTTTTTTCCTGAGCGAGTTTTTTTCTCAGAACTCCCAAATCATTGAGTTTAACAAAATTGACTTAAGAATATTTTTTGAAGAAAATTGAATGCTCTACAGAAAAGGTTTCATTGGATTTTCCCGTCAGATGAACCGTTTTCTTACAATCATGCCTTAAAAATTGGTATAGTTTTACAATTTGATCTTTTAACTTTGGAATTTTGTAATTCAAGTAAAAATCAGTACCCTGAAAAAAAAACGATAAATATTCTTATGGTAAATCAAATGCTCTACAAAAAAAGTCTTTTATCATTTTTGGCTAAATTCACTCCATCAAAAGTTATTCAAGGTTAAATTTGAAGTCAAAGCGAAATTTTAAACTTGAATAACTTTTGATTGAGTGAATTTAGCCAAAAATGTTAAGAGGCTTTTTTTGTAAAGCATTTAATTTCCCATAAGAATATTTATTGGTTTTTTATGGGTACTGATTTTTAATGAATTACAAAATTTCAATTTAAAAGATCAAAATGTAAAACTATACCAATTTTTAAGGCATGATTTTAAGGAAACGGTTCAACTGACGGAAAATTTCACTTTAACCTTTTTCGTAGAGCATTTAATTTTCATAAAAAAATATTTTTAAGTCAATTTTGTTAAACTCAATGGTTTGGGAGTTCTGAGCCTAAAACTTGCTGAGGAACAAAAAAATTAAAATTGCGATGATAGACCTCTTAATATTAATATTATGGACTCAAACTTTCACAATATTTTTTTTTGTCACCCCAAACCATATTTTCGATATACTTTTCAAAAAAAAATAGTTGATTTTTTTGGCCCAGTCTAATGTCTATTGTATCATATATTTTAAATCCACACTTATGGACGAAATCGACAAATTTCCCCTCAATAAAGGAAACAAGGTGATCTATACAAAATATAGCGAATAATTGTAGATTAAAAGTAAAATAATTTTGACAAAATGACACAATCATCAAAATTTCTTCATAGCACTTATGAATCACCCTGCAATTAAAATATTAAATTACACGTTACATGTTAATTTTTGAGTCTCTCCCCATTTAAGGTTAGTCCTTAAGAATTTACTTTCCTTAATTTAAATAATTATTTAAACTTGCATAAGATATTTAAATTTAGTTATTGGTACAGTTGTTGAAAAAAGTAATGCGCAATTTGTATCATCCATTATTTTAACTTTGGGGAAGAAGTAAAACACATTTCCGCTACACTACTCTCTAAAAATGAATTAGTCAAAAATCCCAAAATTTAACAGCCAAATCTTATGTAAAAAATCTCAAAAACTGTTCTACTTTTTTAACTTTTGACGACATTTTCGGATTCAGGGGACAATTTTACATAAGAATTGGTATGGTTAACCATGGTATTCCATGGTTAACCATGGTACAAGTGAAAAAGCAGCCACTAATAACTATTAAATTAGTCATTTTTGACTAATTCATTTTTAGAGAGTAGTTTGCTTTGACTAATACCTATAATATGGTAACAATTTATTTTGTCCAGTACGTGATTTTATTTAGGTTAAATAATTTAACATTTGTTTGTAAATCCATTAAATAAATACTGATTGCGAATATAAGTTAGGAATTACTTATCAAATTTAAACTATTTATTATTAATAATCGCGTCATTACTAAATTAAATACCTACCACTATTTTTATATCGCATTGTTTTGAAATATTATACTTGTTTTAAAATTGTTTTGATCCCCTTTTTGTTTTAGTACCTATAGTAAGTAGTCAATATTAAAACAATGTATCAAAACGAAGGCCATACTAATTTAAATTTAAATGCATAAGGAGATTTATTGAAGCCAATATAAATCTTAAAGACATTCCCAGTCCTTTAATTTAATGGCAAAATAAATTAATTTAGTATTTTATTGCAATGACAAAAACAACTTAGTTAAGGTTCTCTTTGAAGATCATTTTACACTTTTTATAGCTTTTTTTAACTAATTCTGTCCAAAAGAAATTTAGATAATTACCCAGAGCAATTACTTACAAATAAATTTATCACGGAGCCATCGGACACAAAAAATAACTTTTTTGCTACGTTTACTCTTTAATTAACGAGAATATGTCATTTAAAGGACTTCAAGCGCAAAAAAACAATTTATTATACTTAAAGGAAAACCTGGTATATAATCAATGAAAGCACCTATTTATCTCGACCAAATAAAATCTGCAAATCGCTACAATGTAAGCTTTTTTCACATTAACTTTGCCACATTTGATTAAATGCAATTTTTATCGTTAAAACTATATTTAAGTGAGGTATAAAAATTACATTAATATTTTCCATTTTATCAACTTATCGCGTATTCTGTTTTTATTTGATACCGTAGAAGTTTCTAAGTTTGATACCCATGTAAAGGAGGTTGTGAAGAAATATATACATTATATACCTACACAGTAAAAAAATTATATGTAGGTACATTAGGGTGCTTCAAAAAATAAAATAATTTTTTTTTTCGCTCTTACCCTCTCAAATGTTTCTATTTTTCTTTTAACAAAAATACGTTTATTCTACTAAACATATAAATATTTTTAGCAACAAATTGTCAAGATCAGTTTTGTCCGGTACGGTATTTTCACGGGTTTATTTATGAAATTTAATGAAAATTGTGGAATTTGCCTCCAGCCAGGATAAGGTCCTTGCTATTAAGCCGTTAATCTCAAATATTCAGTAAATCACCATATAAAGACAATGTAGGTAACTTTATTGGCAAATTTTCAGACAAAATAACAAAGATAAAATCTTTTTGTTGCTTTTACATATTATTGTATTGTATCATAAAATAAAATAATCATATAGTTTGGTTAGAAATTAATAGTTGCTTATTTTGTACTTAAAAAAAATATTCTGACTACCTTAACAAAAATGTTTAATGGCTATCTGAATTTTTAAATAAATCTTATATTTTTTTATGTATCACAAATACCTGGTGTGGTTTATTAATTATTCTACCTTTGATATTCTTTTTGCCTTTAACGAAATAACATCATACAAAATTCAAGAACATCCCTTTTAGAATTATAATTAGGTATTTTAATTAAGGATTAAGGGAAAACATATATGTAACCTGCAGGTTACATAAATAATTTAAAAAAACTGCTAAATTAAATATGTAAGTATGTCTTTATAAAATAAAATGATGAATGAAATGAATAAAATAACTTTTTATTCATTAATTCCACATAGGTACCATATTTTGTTTGAATTGAGTGTGCCATGGCAACAATGTTGTCCATTAATGGACTGAGATGCTGATTGGTCCCTCCTCCCTTTATTTTAAGTATGTTTTTAGTAAAAACTGTTTACCCATTAAAACAATACGCACTATGGATCTAATTAATCTAACTAATTATTTCACTTTCCGTATGCCATTTTTAATTAATACATTTATTAAAACAGGTGTTGGGACCGGAAGTACGTAAAAATAACCGAAAAAATGTACCTATAGGTATACCTATAACTTGGATTTTATATAAAAAAATTCTCGGTGTTTTGTTTTAATTTTTGTGCGTCCTGAATGGACAAGTAGTAGAACATTTTTTCGCACGATTTACTTTTGTGTTTTTTATTTAAAACGGATAACAGGACTTTTAAATTTAAAAAAACATATTCTAGGTAAGTGCGTTTAATGATATCATTACAAAAAAGTTATTTGGCCTTTATACTTAAATATAGCATGCCAAAACAATTTAAACTATAGTTATACTTATATCCATGGTTGATAGTACTGTATAAATTACAGTTAATATGGCCACATGCTCCAATTCAAACTAATAATTACAAGAGCACTCACCATTTTCGACAACATTTTTCTCAATTTTCAGCTCTTGAAACTCAAATTTTTCGCTCACATCGTCGGAATTTAAGCGAGCGCGTTTTCCCAGACCTAATACACACCTTTCCACGTTTATGTACCCGACGCAACTGTTGAATCCGCGGAAAAGTGCCGGAAAATAGCAGATTGTGCGCAGTTTTCCCAAATAAATCAAGATAACTTTGCTAATTTGACATTTTTGACAGTTATGCCCCCTGTGGGGTTAAAATCCAATGCTTACCAAGGCCTCCATAGTTAAAATCCCAAGTTTAATTAGATTTAAGGAATTCAACGATATCTCTACTAATTGTTTAAAAAATATTTACAAAAACAAAGTTTAAAACATAAAACAAATGTTTTGACAGTTAACCGCCTAACTAAACGGTCAACTGTCAAACGCACAGCCATCTTAAAACTAATTAACTCACTTTATTGATGCTTTGTGGCCCTCATGATAAAAATAATCCAAAATAACGTAAAAATATAAAGCCAAAAAACATTCCGCCGCACTTCCTCCACATAATTCACTTGAAACCTGTCCGAAAAGCAATTTTTAAGAAGCCACTAACGTCTCAATGCATTGTTTTCTATACGGAACTCTCGGCACTGAGGAAGGAATTTTTTTAATTGTTTTATTTTCTACCGAACGACGCTTCTTTAACTTCCGTTTTGTTATTCTAATTGGATACGTTTTATGAATACTTTAAAATGCGTATGTTTGTATTTAACGAAGAAGTTCCCCCTTTTACACTGCACGCAACACGAAATCACTTAATGTTTTTGAAAATCAATATAACTTATTGTAAATTTACCTATTTTTATGATTGTGTGATATTTTTTTAATTATAATGCAATCATTTAAGATTTCTCGTAATTCTTGAAAAATCTTTGAATTTTTGTAAAGCGTCATCTATAGATAACAAAACAAAGTACAACTGCTAATATTACAGTTTCCTACAATTAAATTTAGGCAACCCAATTTACAAGTAAAATTTCAAATTAAATCGATGGTTTAATAACCTTCGAATACTTAAAAATAAAAACAAATATTCTTTATTCGATATAATTTGTTTAAAGCTTTATTAAAATAAACCTATAAATTATATTGTGTTGTATTTTATTTACATTTTTTTTTAATGACATTTGTGACGTTATGTGACCTATAAACTTCAACCTACAAATAGATCATGATGCAAACATCAAAATTTTTACTAAAAGCTGGAAACCTCGTTAAAAATGTGAGTACAACTAGAAAAACACTATCAAGATGTATGACATAACGTATCAATTATAGGATTTGAGGTTGAGAAACAAATCTCACTTGGAAGCCCTAAAAGAGAAGATTTCCAAGGGCCCCACGTTGCAGGATTTCATCGAAAGCACTAATCCAGTGTTGGAGGATGACCCGGAGGCGTGGAAGGAGTACGAGGGGAAGTTAAAGAGGGAAAAGGGGGAAAATCAGAGGTTACGATTACCGCCTTGGTTAAAACGTACAATACCTACAGGTAAAAACTTTAGTCGCCTTAAGGAGCAATTGAGGGACTTAAATTTGCACACTGTGTGTGAGGAGGCAAGGTGCCCCAATATAGGAGAGTGCTGGGGAGGGGGCGAACATGGAACAGCTACTGCTACCATAATGGTAATATTGTTAGTTATATTGTGTTTTTGGGGGATTAAATGTTGTTTTTTAGTTGTTGGGTGATACTTGCACAAGGGGTTGCAGGTTTTGTTCCATCAAAACATCAAGAAATCCCCCTCCACCTGATCCAAAGGAACCTGTAAATACAGCAACAGCTATAGCAACATGGGGGTTAGATTATGTGGTTTTAACGTCTGTTGATAGAGATGGTGAGTAAATTTTTGAATTTTTTTTATTTTTAGAGGAGTGGGTGGTAATATGGATACCCTACATACAATTTTTATTTAAATGAAATTTTGAGTAAGAAAGTTAACATTTTAAAGGATTAAAAAGTTTAAATTTCAATAGGGGCTGATCCCAAGCAGCATTTTAAGTTTAAATAACTACAAATTTACTACTAAGTCAACTTTAAAGTGTTTTTTACAGTATACCAAAACGGTTTTTTAACTGTATAGATACGAAAAATTACCAAATTTGGGGAATGGTTTATTTTGTTATTTTACCTACATAATAACCTTTTTGATCTACTAAGAGAATAACGTAATAAAAACAATATAAATACCACAAATTTACGTAAAAATAACGCTATAATTACTAACTGCTCTCTCTTTCTAAAACATTGACATTCGTAATTTCTTTGTTCTTTTAATTTATAGTATTTTACAAAATGGTACTTACAAAGTAATAAAATAAAAATATATAACTTAAATTGTCAAAACTAATAATATTTTGCATTAAAACTCAAACAACATTATTTTATTGATAAAAATAGGATATATTTAAGATGTATCATATGATACATCTTAAAAATTAGGTATATGCCCTCTAAATATTTTACGGTTTTAAGAAAAAGTATTGCTTGGGTAAAAATTCAACAAAACTTAAAACCTAAAAAAATTTATAAAATGTTTTAAAAATCATTTAGTTTTAATAATTTTTTAATAACTAAAACTTTCCTTATTATACATATTTTAGAAAAATATTTTTGAAAAAATAATATGTAAATGTTTAGATAAGTAATGAATGCCATCTTAAGAAACTCATAATGACGACCTGAAAAAAAATTCCCTTAAAGTTTTATTTTTCCTTGTTTGGCCAATATTAATAGTATTTATTACCACTAATAACCCTAAAAAATACCAGGCGAATAGGAAATATTTACGGTTATAAAGTGGTCTTAATATCGTAAAATTATGACTTATGAGTAAGTAACATTTGCCATTATGTAGAAATTCTGACGTTAAAATTACAGTTAAATTTTCCTTTAGGTGAAATACATTATAAGTAATTTTTTTTCGTAAAAATTACGTCCCACATAATACTTTAAAGTGTTGAAACTTAAGGGTTATTAAAATAGGTAAAAATAACATAAATAAAACTTTTTAAATACTTAACTTTAAAAAAAGTTTTACTTCAAAGTAAATTTTGAAGGTTAATTTAACAAAATATTTACTTAAATTAAGTAATATTGCCTCAAACCTCTACGCTTTTACTGAAAATGCTGCTTGGGATATAGATCCCCTGATAATAATATCCCTAGTTTTCTAATAATATGGTGTGCCATATATTAAGCACCTTTTTATTTTAACACAACTTTTCTGTTAATTCAGACTTACCAGATGGTGGTTCAATGCATTTTGCAGAAACTGTCAGGGAAATAAAAAGACAGTAAGTAATAGTTTTAATAGGTTTTAGAAAGTTATGTTAACTTTGTCCAAATATTACTTCATTATTTTAATGCCTTTTAAAATAAAAAGACAAACTTGGTATGCATTTTATCTAAAGGAATATTATTGAAGTATTTTTGTTTCTATCATTATACCAGGTGAACTTTTTTCTTGCACTCCACTGGTCAAACTTTAAAATAAAATTTTGGATAAAAATACTTCAACTTATATCTCAGTTTACGTGTTCAAGGGTTTTTCGAGAAAATATTCTTAAAGCCCTTTTATTTAATAATGAAAAACGCTCGAATAAACACTTTTATAGGAAAAAATTTTTTGAAGTAAATAAAAAATATGCTGTGAAAGAGCGTATTTTTGTTAGTATACCCTGAAAATGTTGTGCAAATCAAACGAACAGTAACGAGAATACAGCGCTTCAAAGTCGTCAAAAATGACCACTTTTCAGCAAAATAATCAAAAAGGGGTCATTTTTACCGACTGTATCTTCGTTACTGTTCGTTTGATTTGTACAGCGTATTTTTTATTTACTTAAAAAAAATTCCCTAAAAGTTATTTTTAGAACGTTTTTTTATTATTAAATTAAAGGGCTTTAAAAATGTTTTCTCGAACACGAAAACTGAGATATAGGTCAAATTATTTTTATACAAAATTTAAGTTAGACTTAAGTTAACATTGGGAAAAACTTTTTTGAAAAAGTAATGTTAAAACGTTGACAGATGTCAGATTGGTAACAAGTAAGGTTAAAAACGATTGACACTGTCAATCGTATAGTATAGCTATAGTATAGCTAACAACTGTCAATTTGACAGTTGTTAGCTATACTTTTTTTATGGTTGTTAGATAAAATGTCAAATAGAATTGTTAAATTCTGAAAAAACATTACTTTGTGTTTGTCATAGATCAAGTATGGTTATAGTTACAGTTCATTTTATAAACTCGTTTAAGTAGTTATTTATTTTCTAAACATTGTCTGTTCCTTAAAAAAGTCATATTTTAAAGTTTAGCAATCTTTAAATTAGGAAAAAATAGTCACCTGTTATTAAAAACAAAAATACTGTACCTAATTTAGAACATATTAAAGAAAACGTATTAACATCCAAAGAAGTAATTTTTGTACATAGATTCCTTGTAACATTTTATTTAAATTACTTTCCACATCTGCTGGGACACCTTGTATAAAAAAAGTATTTAATTCATGTTCTCATTTTTAGGAACTCTGATATTTTGGTGGAATGTTTGGTTCCCGACTTTAGGGGTAATTTGGACCATGTAAAAAACATTGTAGAATGTGGTCTTGATGTGTATGCACATAATATTGAAACAGTGGAATCATTAACTCCCTTTGTGAGGGATAGGCGTGCTCAATATAGGTAATAAATGATTTGTAATTTAATTTAATGATACTTACCACTTCATTGTATATTTTAGGCAGTCCCTTGAAACTCTAGCAGCTGTCAAAAAGTTCAACCCCGATTTAATCACAAAATCCTCCATAATGTTGGGTTTAGGTGAATCTGATGAGGAAGTTCACCAAACTTTAAAAGATCTTAGGGAAAATGATGTTGACTGCGTAACTTTGGGCCAGTACATGCAACCCACCAAAAGACATCTCAAAGTGGTTGAATATGTGACCCCAGAAAAATATTTGCACTGGGAAAAAATTGGTAAAGAAATGGGTTTCCTTTATGTAGCAAGTGGTCCATTGGTAAGAAGTTCCTACAAAGCTGGGGAATTCTTTATTGCCAGTATATTGAAGAACAGAAAAATTAGTAAGGCTTAAATATTGTAAATAAATGTCTATTATTGTATAAAATAAAACTAAATATTATTTTAACAATCGTTTTATTTACACCTAGACTAAATCAACAAAAACTAAAATATATCTGAACCAGTTTGTCTTGCTCTATTATAAGCATCTTCTTTGGTTAATTTTTCCTCAGCTGAAGGTTCTAAAGGAGTTCCATCATTGTTTAATTTACCCTCTTTTAAATCTTGGGCTATTTTTGGAGCATAAACAACATTAAACAAATCTTCAGCTGTGAATTCTGATTGGACCACATCTGGGGTTTTATATGAAACATAGGGCTTCAACTGAAATATAAATTCAACTTACTTTGTACAGTGATATCCATCATCAGAACTAATTAGATAATTTTAAAAATACCAATTTGTTACAGCAGTAAAATAACAATCATACCTTAAAACCCGTTAAATCTGGAACAATCAATTCTGGTACTTTCTCAGGTACATGCACATATTTTCCTTCATTGTAGAAGCCAGTATCCCTCAACCCTCTCTCTAAAACACATTCATTATCTTAAGGAACTCACAAAACCAAAAAATACACACTGTATATAGGAATATCAGGTTCCGGGTTATTTCGTTGCGCCTCCTTGTACTGCCGTGACCCACGTTTGTTAAACAGACTAAATTTCTTGAAATTCCTTTTTCCATGCCTCACACAACTCGTAGAAATCCCCCTTGTTATTATTAAATTCGCAAAGGACGACATTTCGACTGGAAAGTTAGGTTAGACAGCGTTAAATGGGTAGGAAACAGTGTTGACAAATCTAACATTTAATCCTAAATATTTTTCCTACAAAAACGTAATCATTTCTTATTGTTTTGTGTCATTTGTACTGTTTCAAAAAAAATATTTCTATTTTAATTATCATTGGATGATAATGCAGTGTGTTTATGCAATTTCGCATTAAACATTGTTTTAAAGTAGATTTGTCAACGCCGCCGCTGAAAAGCAAGCGTGCAAAAGTGGCGATCCTGGCGGCGGTTGCGCGCAACTTTCCGAAAACTACGGCTGCTCGACGGAAAAAAGTCCAGTTTGTGCAGTTTGAAGTTGTCTGTCAGTGTGCTGATTCATAAGTTCGCTTTCGAGCAAATTTCCGGAGCGATTGTATTTATGCGTTAGCGAAAATAGGCAGAAAGAAAATGGTGTTGGCGGAGAAAAATACGGAGAACGTTAGAAATGGACGGAGGAGTCGAGGGCCGAGTCCCAACGGACATGTTCAGGAGTCCACAAGCGAAGATGAAAGCTCAGGTAAACCAACAACTATGCCTTAAATGATGTTATTTCTCCTTCCTAAATCTCAACAAAGCGTCATTTTTTATGTTTGTGGAGGTTTTGTAGTGTTTTCGTTGTGAAATCTGAAATGCCAAGGTAAAAGTCTAGCGTACTAGCATTGCTTTTTCTTTCAGTTCCAGTAGATAAAATAAGGGTCGGTAGGGATTATCAGGCCACATGTCCGGAATTGCAACCCGAAGCCCTCAGAAAACCCGAACTTTTGGCCGACAGGGCTCTTTTAGTGTGGTCTCCAACGGAAACCATACCTGAGACAAAATGTAAGTATGCCATTCAAATAAGTTGTGAAACAGTGTTTGTATGCGCGTCTCGGGGTTTTTAGTGGAGGATTACATTATTTTGGCCAAAGATAAGTACGGTTACAATGGGGAGCAGGCTTTGGGGATGTTATTCTGGCACAAACACGACCTTGAGAGGGCTGTTCTCGATTTGGCCAACTTCACACCATTCCCTGACGAGTGGTCTGTTGAAGACAAGGTCCTTTTTGAACAGGCTTTCCAGTTCCACGGTAAAAGTTTTCACAGGATAAGGCAGATGGTGAGCAACCTGAAAAATAACTCAACGATTTATTGTGAATGATTTTTGTTGTTTTAGCTACCCGACAAAAGCATAGCAAGTTTGGTGAAATACTACTACAGTTGGAAGAACACTCGTTCGCGTACAAGCTTGATGGACAAACAGGCGAGAAAATTGAACACACAGAAGGAAGACGGGGCCCCCTCGGAGGCTGGATCCGAGGTGGGATCAAACGAGGAGTCGGATCATGACGAAAAGGTAGGATGATTGTTTTAGTAGTTTTTAGGTACTTTACTTTTGGGGGAATTGCATAATTTGGGGTTTTTATGTCTGGTTAGGGTGAAATGCTTAAATTAAAATAACATTTTCATTATATGGTCTATTTGATACAAATTGTCCTGGTACCAAAATATTTTTTTTGCTTTAAGTTGATTTAGAAAAAAATCGGATTTTTTTTATTTTTAATTTGGATTTTTTTATTTAAACAAGAAGTCTTAAGAAGTTGATTTTTAGTAGACTTTGTAATAATATGAATTCTGTGCTAACCTAATTCATACTAAATAAGTATGGTATAATTAAATCGTTTATTTTTTTTTAATTTAAATTGTACAACACAAATATTTCATATTTATTTCAAATAATCTCTTTGCGGTCATTTCCGATAAACGGACATCCGGTTTAAATCAATTTTGGAGGGTCAAAGTATAAAAAAACTAATTTTTGGTAACCTTGGTGCCCCCTATCTTTAAAAAAACTGCTTGTTGGCAAATACGTTCAAAATTTAATGCTCTACATATTTTGTTATAACACTTTTTTGTCCAACCAATAGGAAATGAGATAAAACGATTTAACTTTCTTAAAAAGGGGGGATTGATGCTTTAAAAATTCTTTCAAAAAACATTATTTTTGCCACACTTGTGGATTGATATTAAAAATAAGCATTAACAAAAAACTAGAGCAAAATAAATATGTGTATTTTGTGAATTTACGCAAAACTGGACGATTTCAAATGGGGGCATATTTTTCATTATTAATTTTTTTTATTTATTTGACTTAAAATGTGTGATTTATTTCTTACAAGAATGGTTTAATGTTTTGTGCGTTTTTTACTTTTAATTGCAATTATTTATTGCATGTTTTTTTGAAGAAAAAAAATGCATGGTAAATCTTTTAATTTTCCCGTGTTCTTAACACTTAAACCTTTTATAGCGCTGTGGATGAATCTGTGAGTAAAAGATTTTCAAAATTACCATGAAATTGGCCCCATTTTTAAAATTTTTCCAAAACAAAAAACATTGTAAAAATTCCAGAAGTGGACGCTACACCGGGGCATTCAGCGTAACCAGAGCCCCCCGAGATCGGGCGCCTCGACTAGCGATTATTCCATTAAGGTAGCCAATCAGAGAGTAGCATTTTAGCACGGCACGCCCATTTTTTTACATCCAATCGGAACATTTCTCTGTCACCTCGGGGTTTCTTTCGAATCTCGATTGTTTCAAAATTAGTGCGCACTGCTATTCACTTGTTTTCATTGCTTTTTCAACTCTATTTAAATTTGCACTTTTAAGTTTGTCATTTTTATGAAGCATGGCTTTTTTATTTTTGAGAGACATTTTAGTTTAAGGTTCCAAAACCTTAAATATAACTTTTATCACAACTTCAACCATTTTATCATAATTTAGCACCATCCCTTTTAATTTTAAGTAACAAAATAACAATTTTCTTTTGTTGTGAAACACATTTAAACAGTTTAAAAGTTGTCAGAAGCAACTAATAAATTTTAAAAAATTCACAAAAATATCGATTTTTTACTTTATTTAATCGCAAAATAGAAAATTTAATATGCTACAGGGTAATTGAAAAGTACCTTAAAAATTTTTAGAAGCCTATTCTTTCATTAAATATATATACAAGGTTTCAATGATTTGCCTGTAAAAAATTAGAGATGCGACTTGAAAAAAAACGGTCCGTTTTTTTTAGGTTTTTTTTCATTGTTTTTTTTTATATTTTAGGTTTTTTTTCATTTGCCTAAATTTTTATGTTTCCAGTCCAGTTCATGGACTAAAATTAGCCACTACCACCTAATTGACCAATAAGGGCCGCGCTTGTTTTGATTTGGTCCTAAAAAAAGTAACTTCCTATATTATTTTTGTTTTAGCGCTTGATTTTTCAACCAAAAGCACGTTTTTCATGATTTTTCAAATTCATGTAGAGTACAAGAACAAGAACATTCCGTGGACAAAATTTTTTTATTACGGTATTCTTTAGGATTGAGCGTTGCACGTTTTTCATCTAAAAATCTATAAACTAGAAACTTTAAGCTTCAAATTGCTTTTTTACGGCTCCAATACGACCATTAGATACAGCTATCCGAAAAATCGCAAAAAATTTGGAATTTTTTTTTATCCTTTAATTTTTTCTATTAGTGTAGAAGTTTTACATTGCTATTGGTTTCTTATGTGGAAACTACCAAATAGAAGAAATCAGATTTTTTAGTCTCGGTCAAAATTTTCAATAATGAATAATATTCTACATTTCACTTTATTATCAATATACATTTTACCCAAAATTTCATTTTGAAAAATTACTCCATTTTTTAAGATAGATGTTATTAATTGACATAATGCTTTATTGTAGCGGATTTGAAAAGAAAGGTTTTCTCATGTTTTTTTTTCACATCTGAAAAAAAAACCGTTTTTTACCAATATAACTAAATTTAAATTTCTTAAACAATTAATGTAAAGGTATACTTAAATTTTGTTTTCCCGTCCTGAAAAGCCCCCAAATTTTGTTCAAAAACTTTTTTTTTCAAAGTTATTTAATAAAATCGAACTTTCAATTTTGACACCCTGTATACATATATGTATATATTATCAACTCTTGTATAGAGGTAAATTTAGTTATATTGCTCAGGAATATGTGGTATTATTTTGTACAGGCTTTTTAGGGACACCTTGTATAAAAAGTTTAATATAAACATTTGTTTTTGGTTTTTTTCCTAATTTAAGAATGTTGCAAACTTAATTTATTGTCAAATACATTAAGAATGTCAAAAACAATAGAACCCCATTGAAGAGCATAAAAGTTTTCCGAAAATAAATTTACAACAATTTTTTTTGAATTGTAGAGGCTTTCCAAGTTTTTTTATTGTACTTTTAAATTATCCACCACTTTTAACAAAAACTAACGAATTGTTAAGAACAAATAGAAAAGTAGAAAACCAAACAAAAGATAGCAAAAAACAAAAACGGTATGGTTGTTGTATGTTGTGTGCAGGGTGAGGGTGGAGCATGCGCGAACTGTGGAGTCGACTGCAACGTCACGAGAGTGACTACCAAAGGCAGACTGTGCAATTCTTGTTACCAACATTGGAGGTACGTATGTCACTAGATCACAACACAAAAAAAAACCAAAACTAGATAGACACAGGTTAGGTTAAACGTGTGAAACCGTTAAAGGATAGAACACACATCATAGAAAAATCTTGCATAATTCATTCAACACTGGTCTACAATTTGAAAAATTGGAAGTTTCAAACACAAACCGCTATGAAATGCGAATATTAAAAATCAATTTTTAACGAAAACTTTTTAAAAATTAAAGTATTAATACAAATTTGCAGACCAGTGTACTTTATATAAAACCAGGCGTTAAGTTCTTTTTAGACTAAATATATTTAAAAATAATGTTTTTTAAGGTACAAAACTTAGTTCTTTGTAGTATGTTGTTATTCAATATTAAAAAAACAGTTTAGTGCCATTGTACTCACAAACGATGTGTAAAAATCTTGGTTAGTACGAGTTTAGTGTGGAAAATATGAAAATTTCAAAAAAAGTAAAAAATTTTCACCAAATTTTTCGTTTTCTACTTGTAAAACGCCAAAAATAATCTCACCAGTTGTCCTAATTTCAGAGTTCACGATTTTTCTTAAGTTGTTTTGGAATCTACATTGACTTTTTGTCAAATTAACTAATATTTTCCAGCTTTATTCTTTTGCACTATACCGTGTTCTTTTTGCTTCGAAAGATCTGTTTTAGGGGTTAAACCTTTTTTCGTCAGAATCCAGTAAAAATCGGCCATCATGACTTCATTGAATAAATTTTTGTTTTAAATGAAATTTGTATGGAAATTTTTTATTTATTGTTCTTCTGGTTGTAATTTTTATGTTTTTTAATTAATTTTAATAATAATAATAATAAATTCCTGTATCCAAGATGACGGTTGAGTATAATCTCTTCCATGGTGCCCTACTTTCAGTATTGTAATAATAGGTACTATTATGATTTACCAATTTACTCCCAAAAGTTTCTGGGTTTACTTACAAATTACTTACAACTTCAAAAAAAAAACAATTTTTAAAATTAAACATTATAAAAGTCGTTAAACCACTCCAACTAGTCTAGAAGCTAAAAAATATCAGGAAATATCAGGAAATCAGATAAATATCCTTTTATTAGCGACACTTATTGCTGTGCAATGTTGCCAAACATTAAAAACGAAATTCCCAAAAGGTCCAGTTTTTGAGTTTCCAAAGGAAAGTATAGAATGACCTACAAAGCAAAATTTACGTTTTATCCAGAAAATTTGGCATCCTAAGAAACTATGTGGATATAAAAACAACTTTGTTGTAAAGTTTCACGAAATTTATTAAATTTTGACAATTGTTGCGCTACACAGTAGCTTCTTCAGAATGTATTAAGGTAGTTGTCGTGGTACAATATTGTCAAAAAATTTTAGATTATACGCACCGTAAAAGTATACGAGCTTGTAGCCAAGTGATTCATAATTTATTTGTACCCTGGAGACGTTACCTTTACGTAATACTTTCAAATATTTTCATCCGGCAACGTCGCTTATGCTCAACCAATAGATATATTAGAGACTGAATCAGTGTTTGAATTTACTGCGGAAATAATATCTATACTCGCGTACACCGTTGCCAAGTTGTTTTTATCTGACACTAGTGATGTATACTTTTTACAAATTGTTGAACTTTAAACGGTTATTTATAAACAATTGGATGGTCAAAAATTTTTAATTATTTTTTTTTTAAACTCAGCAAAAATACATTAAAAGACTGTTAGTTTTTTGAAAGCTTCTGACAGTTAGTTTTTTTTTATAACTAATAAACTGGTACAGAACTACAGAAAGCGTATACAATCCATGTTAATTATCCAATTTTTTATTGAATTTATCTCGGGTTATAGACGGTCAATCGACTTAAAATTTTAAGGATAATTGTATACAAAAATTTAAAA